AAAAGGTATATGAGAGTGGTGAAGTTTTATTCGATGTGGAATTGACGAAGGAGAGAATGAGGATGGATATGAATAATTATTATTATATATTATTATTAAAGAGTGGTGATATGATGTGATTATTATTATGTTAGAAGAGAAGGACGACATACTCGATTCACTATAAAATCTGGATATTGTATAGAGGGGTCTGGGAGGAGGGGAGGAGGATGTGATGCATATTAAGTGGGGGGTGGTTATTGCTGGGAGTGAAATGTAACATAAGATAATGAATAGAAAAGGTGAATATTAGATTCATTAGGTTGGGATAAGATATTGAGTATAAAAATTATATAATTAACTATTGGGAAATTGATATAGAGTATGACGATTTTCTATTGATTTTACTGAGCGCTCGTATAATTGATGGATGATACAATGAGGAGAAAGTAAGATAATATGTAATGAAGTTAGTTAGGTGATTATGATAATGGTGTGTAGGAGAAAAAGGAGTGATAGATAGTAGAAAAGAGATTGGTACTCGTGAATAATAATAAATAAGTTGACGCAAGAGGAAGGAAAATTGAAGTATTAGTATCGGAGCACAAAAAAAAGGAGGCAAGTATCAGTAGAGAAATCAAGGTATCAGTGAGTGTGTAAAATGATGTGGATATGGTGAACATAATATCACTATATTATTGGATGAGAATTATGGTTCATATTTGAAGAGAAAATTATAATATGATGTGGTATATGTGTTGTATATGTAATAAATATGGAGTATTTGTTTGTTTGATTGCTCATCTATTCGGCTTCTCATTAATGGGTGATAATGAATTTCTCATGTTTTTTATTATTATTTATTGTTGTTTTTGTTTTGTTTTTAGAATTAAATGATCAACATGGCCTTCATACGGTGAATCATCGTCGCCCTTCTCTATATTCCTTATTCCATATTCAGTGATTCCCAGTTCCATATTGCTATAATAATATATGTTAACTTTAATTCCTCTTATCTGTCTAAAGTCAGAGTTCGATAATGTTTCTCAATTTTCGCTCTTTATTCTTTTACTATTATTCTTTCGTCGTATTATGTTCAGTTTGTTGGTTTTGGTGTTTGTGTGTCTGTTTGTGTATGGCGTGTGTGATTGCTCTCTTATAGCTTTGATTATTAGTAGTTAGTTTTACTATATGTTGAGATTGAGTATAGTAACCATCGATTGTTGTTGAATTTCTTTTTTACTTGTTGGTATGTTCCTATTTGTGTATTATAACGTGTGATTCTTGAGTGGTGTGTAAGAGGGAGAATAAATAATAACAAGAAAATTATTTTCTCTACTCGCTTATGAGATATATTGGCAGCGGCGATGTATATCGTCGCAAATTAATTTTTTACTTATTCGATTTAATGTAATACGTCTGGTATATAATACAAGTTATATTCATTTACTTTCCTGTGTGTGTATCGTTATATTAGTATAACTATGGAATTCCAATTAACTCTCTTACTATGTTATCTCCATTGTGAATGTGCTAGTTCGTAGTAGTCCAGTCAGTTAGTAGTAAGTTCTTAGTAGTTGTGATGATTATTTTTCATTATTGTCGCTCCACATAGACCTTTCACTGATTGTGATATTCTCTCGATTTACATACGCACGCCTCAAATGATTTGCGAATTAGGAATTTAGGTTTTAGATTGATTTGATTGTATTATCTCATTTTGGATAAAACTTCTCTCCTAACCCAAGCCTGTCATTGGATGCTATGTCTGTTTGATTTCTGTCTTTTTCTGTTGTTCGTCTTAATTAATTGATTTAATGGTGATCTGACTCTTTTCTATGGTACTCTTTTCTCTGATACCTTCTCCTCCTTATCCTCTCAGGTATACTCCCTCTTTCCCCTCTCACTCTCACTCTCCTCTCCCGCTCTGCAGTTGCTTCCCCGTCACTCCTCATATATTAAAATCGCTCACTTGTTCATTTGTTATTATACTTCAATATATACCTCTATTGTATTGACCTCTCATTACGGTTACATTTTTAGTCATTACACTCTCGCTTAGAGTGCTATATTTTTTTTTCATCTCCGAAGTAGGCTATTGGTCACGGGCTCGCAAGTGTGCATATGATTGTACTCTGTTCGTTGCGTGGGTTTAGCTGTGTACCCTTCTTCTCATTAGTACTCATGGACCTTCTTCTCTTTCACGATTGTACGATTCTACTCTGTATGGAATTGTCTCATTCCTCCGATCTCCCGTCGGGCTCTTCTGTACTGTGAGTTCTGCACCCGAGTGAGTATGTGTACCTCTCTATCTAGTTCGCTTGGCGCGCGTGATCACTCTCGCTGTTGTTTTTTCAATTAATCATGTACTATGTGACTATATAATGTAATTTATTTCTCACTTGATATTATTTCCAGTGTTTTTGCTTCTGTTTCTTTGTTTCCGTGTCTTTATTCTTACCCGGATACATTCGTGGTGTTACTTGTTTTGTATTTATTTAATCTCTTATATTTATTCAATTAGTACCCAATAAACATTAACTCTTCTCTAAACTAAAATATTAATCAGTACTCTATAAGTTGGTGTATGGTTTGATATATGGTTCCTAAAAACCCCGTTAGCTTCATAGTGTTTGAATTAATCACTGTGATTATTACTTGAGTTCTGTTTTATTCTCGGTGGTTTTCTCTTTTCACTATGTATAGAAGTGTTTCTCCAACCGCTCACATCTCTCTTCTATTTTGTTATGGAGTAGTGGTGATATACTTTAATGCATCTCCGTGTGAACGAGATTGGAGGCTCACAGAGAATTCACGATATAAGAAAGCTGATACGATTATTACCACAAACTAACAACTATCTTCTCCTGAATTGATCAATATAAGTTGTTCTCTATCATCTTTTATCATCTACGCACCCTGATCACTCACCTTCGCTTCGTGTTAAAATGTGAATTTTTTCTCTGTTATCTAGGGTGTGGCAATTTCACTCCGATTTCATAATGGACTGGTGATTTATCGTTGGTCTTTTCTCCTAAGTTAATAGAGCTCACGGCGTCCCTTATTTGGGGTATATTTTATTTGTATTGTAATTATATGTTATCATACTTCCGAAGCCTCTTGTATGGCTAAGGTCTAAAAGTGATTTGTGTGTTGTCAACCAGCGTCTTGGCTGTTATGTGTGTATTTTGTGAATTGATCTCGCATGTGATTTGGTCTTGGGGCCTATCAATGTGTTTCTGATTATCGATGTCACTGGTTGTATAGAGAGTGCTGTTACACATTAGTGTGTTCATGTGTAGATGTATCGCGCTAGTTGTGGTCAGCTGAGTAGGCACAACAATATGTTGAGGGGGTGGTTATGTATCGGTCATTTATTGATTTTTACATGCCTCTGGTTCGATGTGTGGATGAGATCGTGTGTGTCTGAGATAGTGTGTTTTGGTCAGTGGGAGAGAGGAAGAGAGAGTAGTATCATTTTATCGGTTATTTTAGAATATTGATCGTGTATGTTTCGGTGACTTGTCTCCTAAGGCTTATCATACGTCCTTAACAAAAAGTCGTGCAGCTGTTGTTGTGTGGTTAGTACCATATAGTGGAAAGTATTGGGTAAAAAGAGAGAATATTAAAACCATTGTTTTGCATATATGATCTTGAACCATGATATTGAAAATTGGATGCTTAGTAGAATATACTTTTAGTATGATAGACCTTTCTTAGCTTTATTTAAGATGGAAACAATTGTTGCAATTTTTTTTCCTAGAGAAAAGAAGTTGACAAATATTGGTTTATTTTCTTTCTCAAAGCAAGAAATGTATGCATTTTGACTTTTAAATTATATGCCAGTAGTTGAAGGGTGGTTGGGGTGATTTTTAAAAAGACCTTTTTTTATAAATGGATTTTTATTTTAAGCAAGAACTCAATAACATCTACTAAATCATACTGAATGTAGACCCTTGTAACTAGACAGTCCACTTTAGACTGTACATTTTAAGAACACAGATTAGAGATGATATGTAATCACAAATTGTAGTAAATCCAAGTGCACCTTTTTTTTACCATTTTCTTGTTACACCTGCCTGAGGTAAAAAAAAAAAAAAAAAAAAGAATTGAACAACCATTTTGACTGTGTACATGCATGCTTCACATGTTTTGCATCTGAAGCATTCGTGCTAAACAAATTGTAATAAAACAATGAAAAAAAGAAAAGAAACACAGGAACATGTCAGAGGACTTTATGCCATTTTTATGGTTTGTTCTTCCGATAACTGCCTGCCCAGTGGTTTAACCCACTGAATTATTTTCACACATTGAATATTATTTGCTTCTGTCTGTGATATATTTGGATGATTTTATCTGAAATACTTTTGGGGAATTGTAACATCTTGTGAACTTGTCAGGCACCTGTATCATTGCTAAGACTGTTCGCTTAAGATATGCAAAAGAATTTGCATATATATATATAATATATATATATATATATATATATATATATATATATATATATATATATATATATATATTATATATATATATATGTATGTGTATAACTTTTCCATTGTGATAAAGCAGCAGCTTAACAGGGAAAAAGAACTATAGGGTCTCAATATTTTTTTTTAATCATGAAAACTTTTTTTCCCCATTTATGAGCTTTAGAGATTATATGCTTAATTATTAATGATTTTGTTTTGCCAGTTCGCAAAATTTCAATACTTTTCTTAGAATGATACTGTATACATACCATAGCATATTATCCTTGTTGTGATGTCTTGAAGTGTTTTTTGGTAATAGTAATTGTAAAAGCTGGTATTACTTTACACAATTTATCAAGACAGTATGTTTCTTTTTTGATAACTGAATATTTTTGTCATTATAGATGTTCTTATGAATTCAGATGAGAAATATGTTATTCTAATAATTTCTGTAATAGATTTGCTATGAAAATGTTGATACCCTAATTCTAAAGATGTTATCTACCTTGCTAAACTTCCCTTATTTTTGTTTAAATTTATACAGGAAGTACAAATATGGGTCAGAACACCCCTGGCCTTGTGCTGGAGTGCGAAACTGAGGAGCTCTCCCAGGCACAGCTCAGCAAAAAGAGGAAAGCTCAGGATGATATTCACCGACTCCATATCTTGCTAAACAACACACTGAATAATGTACAGGTAGCTATTGCACCTTCTGTTTCGTGAATTTGTTTGTTTGATAAGTTGATACATTTGGTTTAGAATGTTGAGTAGGATATTTGCAAATCATGTTTTGCGTGATATGATAAATGGTTTGATGAATTTTGTTTTAATTTACTATGTTAAAAGCTAAGCATTCTTCTGTGACATTCACGATACTTTTATTTTTTTCTCTCTTTCTCTCCCTCCTTTCTTCTCTTTCTTTCTTGGAAAATATAAAGAGCTGAAATTAAGTTATGTCTTAGTTCAACATTTTATAATAGTTCATTAAGTATAACTTTAAGTCCTATAACATTGTCAGGGTTGAATTAAACTAGCTGAGTGTTATATAAAGACTATCCCACCCCCTCCAGTCTGATAATGCTGGGACTCAAGCCATGGTGAATGGGGGCAGTGCAGTGCCAGCTGGACAGGTGGTAACCACAGCCAGTCAACCAATCACTAGTGGCGCAAATGTGGTAAGTTAACTTCATTCTCTTCTTTCATTCTTTTTGTACTTGCATGTTTATTGTTGTCATTATTGTTATTATTGTTATTATTGTTGTTATTTTTGATATTATTGTTATAATTGTTACTATTATTTTTTTTTATTATTATTATTATTATTGTTATTATTATCATTATTATCCTTGTTATTATTAATATAGTTATTATAATTATTGTTATTATTATTATTGTTGTTATTGTTCTTATTGTTGTTGTTATTATTTTTATTGTTATTGTTAGTGATTGTTATTATTATTGTTATTGCTA